GCAACAGAAAATGGACTGAAAAGAGAGTACTTCCTTACTCTAATCCTCACACTCTCTGATGCCTTCTGGCACTTTCTCTGCAGCGTTGGCACAAGGCTGAGGTCATCAGTAATTCCTGGGGACTGATCTTCACTGGGAGAACCTCCCCACTCTGGAGCCCACGCTGCATCTGGCCGGCAGAGGCCCAGGCCGCTCACCACTTTTCTCCCTCCCTCGGGTGTTAAGTCTGGTAAAAGGAGTTCTTTGCGGGGCGGTGGTAAGGTGGCTAGTACTGCCTCAAGGTCCTTTATTTTCTAGTATGAAGAAGAGTATTGCTCACTTAAGACATTTTAATTATTTATTTAGGGGCTCCTGGGTGGTTCAGTCGTTTGAGCGTCTGACTTCGGCTCAAGGTCATGATCTCATGATTTATGGGTTTGAGCTCTGTGTTGCGCTCTGTGCTGACAGCTTGGAGTCTGGAGCCTGCTCTGGATTCTGTGTCTCCCTTTCTGCTCCTCCCCTTGCTCATTCTCTCTCTCTCTCTCTCAAAGATAAACAGACATTAAAAAACAAAGTTTATTTATTTATTTGGAGAGAGAGAGAGAGACAGCATGTGTGTGTGTGTGTGTGCACACAACTGGGGGAGGGACAGAGAGCAAGGGAGAGGGAGAAAATCCCAAGCAGGCGCCACACCATCAGTGCAGAGCTGGATGTAGGACTTGAACTCATGAACTGTGAGATCACGACCTGAGCTGAAATCAAGTCAGACGCTTAACTGTCTGAGCCACCCAGGTGCTCCAAGACACTTTATATAGCAGCTTGGCCACAGAAATGTCAGGACTGATGCACTTCCGTAGGCAACATTAGACTTCTTGGCTGAGCAGACGGGCAGTTTCTGGATGCTCATGGGCTCTGGGGTGAATGACCTAACTCTCCTGGTAGCATAGATTGTGGCACAAGCCAACCTCTAGAGTTTGGAGTGAAGGGAAGTGAGAATTGGCATCTCCACTTCCCACCGTGCCTCTGGCTGGTTTGTTTCCTGTTAGCCTCTTCCCGACTGAGAAACACGGAGGCTGGGAAGGCTAGTTTTGGAAGAGGAGTTAAGACTGGAAACCACTCCAGGCCTTCTTGATGAGGGTTAGGGTTTACATGCAATGTGTGAGCCGAGATGAGCTGGCCGGGAGTCAGAGCTCCAAGAAAATGCTGTGTTGGTCTTTTTGGAGTTCTGCACACCAATCCTGTCGGCTACAGCAGTGGAGCACGGAAGTTCTTGGCAAGGCTGGAGAACCAGCTGGAAGACTTCAGCGCCTGGGACACAGTGGGCTGGGCGGGCCTCGGCCTTAACCATTCTTCCCTCCTTTCCCCAGGGGAGGGCAGGAACCCTGTATGGGTGGCCTTACTTAGCTAAGTATCTGCAGGGAGCAGGGGAGGGGCTGGGAAAGAGCGCCTTCCTGTGGACAGAAGCAACCCAGAGGCCACATGAAGGTGAAGAATATGTGCACGTCTTTGGTCGGGCTTTGCTCTAAGCCACTTGCTGGGAAGAGGCCCACAGGAAGGAGCGTGGGGGCAGCATGGCAAAGCCGCCCTGCCTCTGCGCTTGGGATGTAAGCCTCCCCCTTCATCCCTCCTACTTGTGCCTCACCTCACCCCTCTGAACTTCAACCTCCCCCTATAAAATAGGGTCAATAATGCCTACCTGGCAGGATTGTTGAACATGTATAGATTCTGGGGGAATAGAGGAGCTGGCTCACGTGACTTTGGAAAATGGCGTTTTGACCAGAAAACGTAAGGCTAAACACAAATGCAAGCGTACATAAACACTGTAATGTAGTTAGTAAGGTAGTTTCCCAGAGGGGTACAGATGAACAATTCTGAAACTGTCGTACATGAATACTGCGAGCGAACAAACACAGGAAGGGATGATGGGTAGAAGGAGTCAAACTCCCACGTTGTTCTTGCAACACCAGGACTGTGCACTGGGGTGTAGAGGTTGGCCAATGAGCTGTGCAACTAGAACATATTTAAACATGACAGGTAAAATCAAAGACTGTTGAATTGTGATAGCTGCATAACAAATTGCCCCCAAACCTAAAAGATCCATCTTTTACTATGCTCATGGTTTCTGAGGATCAGGAATTCAGGCAGAGCAGATAGCTGAATTTGGAGGGGATGGCTAGTCTCTGCTCTGACACGTTTGGGGCCCCAGATGGAAGATTCAAAGGCTAGAAGGTGGAATCATGCACTTATGTGTGGGCTGGTTGGCTGGGGACCTTTGCCAGGGCTGCTGGTTCGAACACCTCCATGTGGCCTTTCTGTGTGGCCTGGGCTTCCTCACGATATGGTGGCTGAGTCCAAAGGAAAGTAGAAAGAGAGACAGAGACAGAGAGCCAGGATGAAGTCCTACTGTCTTTTATGACCCAGCCTTGAAAGTCTGGAAGCATTGCTTCACCACTTTCTATTGGAAAGATCACCCTGCTTCCTGAAGAAGGGCCACGTATCTCCAATGGAGGAGGGTCAACTTCACGTTGTAACAAGAGCTCGTGAGAAGAGATACACCGGTGTGGCCATCTCTGGAAAATATCATCTCCTACAGCTCCATCTAATCTTTCTCCCTCTTCCTGAGATCACCACCATTTCCAGGGGGTATGATTACCTTCAGATGACCTCTAAGCCTTTTCATGCATAGACAAAGACTTGGTTTGGGGCTTTTGTGGGAGGGAGTCGAAAGTTTAATTTTCACTTAAGGGAAATTCCTTTGCATTTTGCTTTTTGTTCTTAACATGAATTCATTTATTAGTACATGTAGACCTATTTTTTTGTGTGTGGGGGGTGTTCCACAATTTGGTTATATAGCAATTTATGTAACTACTTCTTTCTTTTGATGGATCTTTAAAATGTTTCCACTTTTCCCCCCTATTATAAATAATACTGCAGGGTGCCTGGGTGGCTCAGCTGGTTGAGCGTCTGACTCTCGATTGAGGCTCAGGTCATGATCCCAGGGATATGGGATCAAGCCCCGCTTTGGACTCTGAGCTGAGCATGAAGCCTGTCTCTCCCTCTTTCTCTCTGTTCCTCTCTCCTCTGCTCCTCTCCCCCACTCACACACACTCTCTCTCTCAAAAAAAAAATAATAAAAAATAAAAATAATAATACTGCAACCAATATTTCTCTATGTATTATTTTATGCACATAGTACAAAATGTGAATGTGTCCTGGGAAAGAGATGGATGAGTAAAGGGCTGAGTGAAAGAACAAATCACTTTTAATTGTAATGGGTATTATCAAGTTTCCTTCGAGAAAGGCTCTCTGACCAATAAAAATATAAAAGTATTCACTTTCTTGTGCCCTCACTAGCACTGAGTACTGTCAGTCCTTTTCATTCTTGCTCGTCTTATGGGCAAAAGCAATATACCGCACATCATGTGTTTTTAATTTGTAGTTTCCTCATTACAGTTAGGTTGAATTGGGCTGAACATCTCATATGTTTATCAGCCATCTGTAGTCCTTCTCCTGGGAATTGCCTGTTCATTTCCTTTACTGAACTGCTCACTGCAGTTTCACTAAAAAGCAGAGAAATGCAAATTGAAACAGCCATTGTTTTTTAAGTGATGAAGTTAAAAAAAAAAAGGTGACAAGGATTCTCAACGCTTGTGATGATTGACATCATAGAAGTTCAAAAAAACTACTCTATGTCTAATTAAGGTGTTAACTTATATTTTCTTTCTACACATTTTTAATTAAAACACAACTTAGCACCATATGAAAATATTCAGAGTTGTTTTATATGAGATGAGACCAATGTTGATTTAAAAACTTTAGTGAGTAAAAATTTTCGGCATCATTTATTGACTGAGTCTTCTTTTCCTTGAAGACTTTTGTTACTTACTTTCTCTGTTAAAGATTCAAATATACAATGGGATTGTTTAATGGACTACTTTTATCTTCTGTTGATCTATTTATTTTTTGTGTGCTGGCATTCCCCCCCCCCCCTTTCTTTATAAGGCAAGTCTCTGGATTTATTTGGTAAGAGAGAGCACAATTACAGTATTTCCTCTCTCTACCAGGGAACGTTGTCTCTTGGTAGGGGCAAGTGTGACTTTTCATCACTCCATAAAGCTCTGTGGTGTTTTCCTTCATGCAGTGGCCTTTCTTTTAGGAGTGGAGTATATTTTCTGAGGTGCTGGCTGTATGGACAGTGTTGGGGTTACTTTTGGAATATTGGGATTATTTTCAATCCACTATCTTTTTGAGATGTTTAGATTTGGTGATGCAGAGGAGTAGAGTTAGTGACACTGAGCAGAGGTAGGAGGGGAATGGAGAGAGGTGTTTTGGAGGAAGTGTGTACAAGCACTGGGACCTCCAGGAGCAGAGAGAGGTGGCAGATAGGAAGGCATGCCAGAATGACTCAGGGCTCAAACCCAAGAACTGTGAAGTCATGACTTGAGCTAAAGTCAGATGATTAACTGACTGAGCTACCCAGATGCCCCAGTAGGCCTGATTTGATGTTGGGTGATGACAGTGTGTATGCAAACATGTGTGTATTTAAAGGAACATGGTGTGAATTTGTGCATATGCATGTGTGAACACAAGTGTGTCGTTAGGTGAATGTGTGTGTGAATTTGAGTGTATGAGTGTGTTAGTTTATATGTGTATGAGTGTGTATGTGTCTATGTCTGTGTGTTTAAATGTGTGTTTATGTACATTTTAGTGTATGTGTGTGAGTGATTATTATGTGCGTGTCCATGTGAGGATATGTGTGTTTACATATGTATAAGCCTCTTTGTGGGTATGTTTAAGTGTTTGTGTCTCTATGTGTGTGTAAGTGTTTATATGTGTGTGCGTTTGTGTTTTATGTTTATGTCCCTCACACACACACACACACAAAAGACAAGGAGGGGCCCCACCAGGAAATGAGATCCTGGTGAGAAGCCTGTCCTACCCTCTAGACTGGGTCTCAGTCCTTGCCATGGGTCATAGAACATTGTCATTGATGAGGTCACAGACTAAACCCAGGATCCTAGTAACCACAGGGAGCCCAGCAGCCCCTGGGGCTGGGGCCAGTGGAGGGCTTCAGCACAGCCTAAACCAACCCTCACCAAACAGCTGGAGCACTGAGTCCCCTGGGCTCTGGTGTCCAACCATGGAACGCCACTTCACAGACCATAGGGGAGAACAATCACCAACAGATGGGACCACCATGAGCCTGGCCAGCCCAGAGCCCACGGAGGAGAGCGTGGCAGTGTGCTGGTCAGGTGGGTCAAAAGAGAGAGGGTTGGTTCCTTGGGAGCGAGGCTCTGGAGGGTGAGGGAGGGGCGCTGGGTCACCTCCAGTGCTGTTGCCAAAGTGTTGGATTGGCCATGAAAATGGATGGTGGCTATGCCTGAGGCTGTTGTGAGTACATGAGGTGATTTCAGGAGGTACGAGGGTGAAAATGGAAAATGCTAGTCATTATGTACTTTAATGTACATTGGAGAAGCAAAATTGGCATGTCAGCCCTGTGGTTTCAGAATAATATACAAAAACCCCTTATAATAAATTGATTAAAATTAATCCAGGACATCAATTTGAAGATGACTGTGAAGTGACCACGGGCAGCACATAAGGGTAACACCAACTCAATAGTCAGTGAAACTCTGTGCCTCAGTTTCCTAATCTGTCAAATAGGAATCATAACAATGTAATTTCTTGGGGCTTTTTCAGTATTAAGGGAGTTAATACATGGCGGGCACTTATACGGTGATGAGGTACAGTGAATGTTTAAGGAGAGGGCAAGATGCTCCTCAGGTAGGACCAATATACGTCACAAATGCTGAAGGAAAAGGGGGTGCTGGATGACCTGGTTAAAGTACTTCCATGTGTGGCTTTTCAAATTGAGCTTTTTCAAAAATTTATTTTGAGAGTGAGCGAGCATGGGAGGAGGGGCAGAGAGAGAGGAAGACAGAGAATCTCAAGCAGGCTCTGCACTGTCAGTGAGGAGCCTGATGTGGGGCTCAAACTTGTGAACCGTGAGATCATCACAGGAGCCCAAACCAAGAGTGGGCGCTCAACCGACTGAGCCACTCAGGTGATCCCTCCCCACACACATGTGTGGCTTTTTAAATTGGCTTTAATCAGCTGTTAATTTACACATGAAAATGTCATCATTGTGCATAATTTGAAGAATTCTGGATAAGCGTACATGTGCGTAACCACCATCGTGATCATGACCTGGAACATTTTCATCATCCCCAAAGGTTTCCTTGTGACCCTCTGCAGTGAGTTACCCTGCTGCCCCCAGCTCCGGGTAACCCCTGATCTGCCCACTCTTTCTATAGTTTTACCTTTTCTAGAATGTCATCTAAGTGGAATCCTATAGCATAGGGCCTTTTTACCCCAGCTGCTTTCATTTAGCATAATGCATTAGAGATTCACCCATGTTTTAAAGGCATTTTTAAAAAATTCTTATTTATTTTGAGAGAGACAGAAATAGTGCAATAAGGGAAGGACAGAGAGAGAAGGTGAGAGGGAATCCCAAGCAGGCTCCACACTGTCAGTGCAGAGCCCGAGGAAGGGCTGAATTCACGAAACCATGAGATCATGACCTGAGCCAAAACAAAGAGTCAGCGCTCAACCCTGAGCCAGCCACCCAGGTGCCTGGAGATTTGTCCATGTTTTACACATATCGGTAGATCATTCCTTTTTTTTTTAAATCAATGAATAGGCTTGCGTTGTATGGTACATCCATCCATACATCCATCCATCCATACCATAATCTGTCTATTCACCAGTTGATGGTCTTTTTGGGTTTAGTCAAGTTTTTGGTGATCACATCCATACATTATTTGCTCCTCATCCCCATTTTATGAGGAATCACAACACAGGAGCTGATGGTACTTGCCCAAGGACCCCCGAGCCTGCACCCTCCCAGAGCCCTGAAAGGTGAGTTGTGGCACTGATCCCTGCGGGGACGCTGATGAAAATGTCCTTCCATTTCCCAGGGGCCATGAAAAGAGAGGAGACACCTCCTCGGCCGGGGCCGGCCCCCCTCCACGGGGAGGACGTCTACTTGGCCTGCAGGGCCCGGGCAATGCTGGGCTGGAGCAGCTCTCCATCCTCCCCGTCCTCCTCCTCAGAGTATCAGTCTTACTCCCAGTACCAGTCTTGCTACTCCTGCATGTACGACGATGAAGACACCGCCCAGCAGAGCATGTGTGCCTTCTACACCCACGTGCAGACGGTGCAGGGCGTGGCCGTGGCCTGGGAGACTGAGACAGGCTTTGAGCCGGTCAGCAGGAAGCCCCGCATTCACGAGGCCGCGTTCATCAAGAGGCAGAGGCGGAAAGGCACCTCCTTTGAGATGGCTTCCAGCACCGACCTGCGCTGGGAACTGGAAGCCAGCAAGAGCAACTGCTGCCCAGAGCAGGATGACACGGAGCTGCTGGGGCCTCTGGAGCTGTGCCTGCCAGAGCTGCGGGACACCCCCGACTGGCTGGTCACCACGGACTATGGGCTGCGCTGCGTGGCCTGCTGTCGGGTCTTCCCCACGCTGGAGGCTCTGCTCAAGCACGCCCAGTATGGCATACAAGAGGGCTTCAGCTGCCAGATCTTCTTTGAGGAGATGCTGGAGAGAAGAAGGCGGGCCCGGGGCCGAGTCCAGGATCAAGAGTTGGAGGAATTAGAGAGCCCTTCAGAAGGCAGCGGACCTCGCCGGCCCCAGGCCAGGGCGTTTCCCTCACAGCGGCAGCAGAGGCAGTGAGCTGGAGGTGATGTGCCCAGCCCTGCTCTCACCTCTGGCGCCGCAGTTGATCCTCCCCCAGCCAGCAGGGCCAGAGCTACCTGGGCAGGGAGAGAGGAGGAGAGCCGGGGGGAAGAAAGCAAGCAGGAGCCAGAGCTGGCAGGGTCGTGAAAAGGGGAAGAACTCTTCCAAAGGGCACAGCATTTCAACCAGAGTCCGTTTCAAACCTGAATCCAAAGAGGAGGGCTTCAAGTGTTTCTGATGATGGGCACAAGATCTGAAGCCTGCAAGCGTGTGGACACAGGGAGTTTTATTTTTGCTGGTGGATCAAGCAGGTCGTGACCCACAGGAGAGCCAACTGCAAAGGAAGCTTCCAGCCTATGTTTTTCATTGTTAGGAACCTGTTATATGCCCGAATTCTATGTCTTATTTTGGTGGGATTAAACTTGAGTCACTCAAAACTTAAGGCAACATCTAAAGGCGTGAGCCATGCTATGAGGTTGGAGCTGTTGGAAATTGCCATCTCTGTAGGTCACACACCAGCACAGACACCTGGAGAAGGCAGGTTCCCAGAGGTAGAGATGGGGTCTGCGTAAGTCCCGCTACCTATGAGTTCATAGGTCAACTGTAGGTTTTAACATGTTGTTACAATATTCATCTACACCCTCCTATCTGTCCCCAGTTCAGGGGGCTGTGTTCATTTGAGAAAATCCATGGATGGCTCCCTGTGTGTAATGCATGCAGATGAAACATATAGCCCAACCTTCCAGGGAGAGGACCTTCCACTGTCCAGTGGACAATTCCAGTGTCCAATTCTCCAGTGAGACAAGGGAATGAATCACATAAGGGAGGTTTGGGGAGCCCAGTGCAGGGGCCCCAAACTCATGCTGGTTGATGAGGAAGCAAAACCTTCCAAAAGAGGCGATGTTCACAAAGGCTTAGAAGACAGGTAGAATTAGTAAGACGGTGGCTTCTTACTTGGCGCTGTTGACATTTTAGACTGAATAATTAATTGTCTTCATGTCGGTGAGGGCTATCCTCTCTACTCTGGGATGTCTGGCAGCATCCCTGATCTCTACCCACTAGATGCCAGTAGCATCTCCTTCCCTACAACTGTGACAATTGAAAGTGTCCTAGACTCTAACAAATATTCCTTAGAAGCAAAAATCACTGCTTGGTTGACAGTCACTGAGCTAGACAAGACTGAGGATCTTAAGAGGAAGAATGGCACAATATGTATGGGCAACTGCCAGCCACTTGGCCTGGATGGAGTGCTGGAGGCATTTCTCTTCTCATATAGTCCATAAAAATTTAGCACCTGCTATGTGCCAGACACTGTACTGGGCATGGGGAACAAACAGTGAATAGGCATGGATGATTCCCTGTGTGGCTTACAGAAAGCTGGCAAAATTAGACTATATATACATATATGTACACATACATATTTAGAAATAATTATAATAATATATATTATTTATAATATATTTATTTATATATTATTAATAATATAATTTATAATAATAAATATACATATTTAGAAATAATTATAGAAGCACTCAATTCATGACCTTCAAGGCCCGGGCTTTGCTAACTTCTCCATCACCATTTCTTAGAATCTGCTGCTTCACTTGCTATGCTCCAGTTACACTAGCCTTCCTTCTTTCCTTAAATGCTCCAAGCTTTCATACCTCAGGGCCTTTGCACTTGCTCTCTCCTCTAGGTGGAGTGGAAACGCTTCTCTGTCATTCTTCTGGCTGACCACCGACCCTTTGTTCATCTATGAGGCTTCAGCCTTGTCACTTTTTCATAGGGGACTTCTCCAATCATACCACCTGGTGCATGCCTCATTCTAAGTGCAGATGATTTAAAAAAAAAAAAAAAAAAAAGGAAGTGTCATGATCAGACTTGTGAAATATGGATTGGTGGAGTAGCAAAAGAAGAAAGGATCAAGTAATCAGATCATTTAAGAGGCAGTTGTAGAAACCCGGCTATAAGGGAAGATGTGGTTTGGACAAGGCTAGTCACAACCCATGAGGGAGTGAATGGATGCATTCAAGATGTATGTGGGGAATAGATCCAAAGAACTTGGGGATGTGTGGATGTGGGGGTGGGGAAAACGGGCTTTTCACCAGGTGGCTGGTGAATATTGGTGCCATTTCCAGGTAGTGGAATACCAAAGGAGAAGATTTGCTGGGATACCAATGAGTCCAGTTTTGAATAAGCCCACCTTGTGATAGAAACATTCAGAAGGGAGTTTGAAGGATCTGGAGCTTACGTGGGATGGAGATAAGTTTGCAGTCATCTACACGTGTGTGGTTAGCTGCGGCCATGGCAGTTTATGTGGGCCTTAAGTGAGATGCATTCTCTCCGCTAGCCTCAGTACAATGGGAAGCCAAGTGATCATAGAGTTGATGTCAGCCATGGGGATGGTGTCTTCTCACCACTTTGAAGATGTGGCAGATTCATGGACTTTCTAAATTCACTGTGAAACAGGCTGGAGAATCTTCAGAAAGGAAAAGGGGATGAGACAATGGCCCAATTTTGTGAAGCTCTTCTTGGAAGAGCCTTTGGTATTTGAGGGAGGCTCAGTAGGCAGATAGAATCAAAGGACAATCCAAAGGAAGGGGAGGCAGCTGAACCAGAAATAGGAGAGTGCTAGTGAGGAGAACATTTCTATTTAGAAATCAGTGTGCAAGGGAAATAAAATGAGGCATGGCATGTAAGCTCTGGAATTTCAACCTTTAAAAGACGTGTATAGCCCTGATATTCTAAGGGCCAAGAATTGCTCTAAATGCCCTGTGAATATTAAATCATGAAATGCCATCCACTGTGGTGGGTTCTATGATTAGTCTGATGGGTGAGTAGGCTAAGACCTTACCAAGGTTGTACAGCTGGTATGTGGCAGAGTCAGGCTGTATAAACCCAGGCAGCGTGGTTTCAGAGCCTGTGTTCTAACCATCACACAGAGAAGAAAATTTTAATGTAAAGCCAGATGCAAGGTATTTAGAAAAGCAAACATGTCAGCTCCACAGGTTGTATTTTCTTTAGATTAAGTAGCAGCAGCTGGAGATCCCGGGAAAATGATGGGCGTTCAGAATAAATGAAAGATGACAGGAACCTTGGGTAAGCAAACTTTTAATGTAGAGGATAACTTAAGCTGACATGGACGGGGGAAGGAAGGGATAAAACTGTTCTTAAGTAGTGACTTGTTCTTAAAATACAGCTTAAACTCAGCTGGGTTAAGTACTCATTTGTGGTTTAAACTCATCACTTAGCAGAAGCCTGGGGCTGCCACCAAATAAGGTAAGTATCAGAGTGAGTAAGGAGAGCCCCTCCAGGGGACTTGAACCACTTAGATCTTGAACCATTTTAGACCTTTTGTCTAAACCCAACCTTTTCCCGGACTCAATAGAAACCTGATAACAGTGCCTGACAAGAATGGCACTAAAAAAAAGTAAATATACCAATGTCATTTACAAACACAAAATAATAGCTAATTATATTTTTTCAGCTAAGGTGCCAAGATAATTCAACGCAGGAATGAATAACCTTGTCAGCAAATAGTGCTGGGACAACTGGGTATTTATATGCAAAAGAGTGAAGTTGTATCCCTACCTCACACCATATGTAAACATTAAAATGAAAAAGACCTAATGTAGTTAAAACTATAAAACTCTTAAAGGAAGACAGAGATGTAAATCTCCATGATGTTGGATCAGGCAATGGTCCCTTAGATATGACACTGAAAGCACAAGCAAACAGAAAGATATAAGTTGGATTTTATCACAATTAAAGACTTTCGTGTTCAAAGGACATTATCAAGAAAATGAGAATCCACAGAATGGGAGAGAATACTTGCACATCCCATATGAACTCTTACAATAAAATACAAGCATTCCAGTTAAAAGATGAGCAAAAGGCTTAAAAGATATTTCCTCAAAAAAGATATACAAATGACCAATAAGCACAGAAAAAGATACTCAACATCATTGGTCTGTAGGAATGTAAAATGGTGCAGCTACTTTAGAAAACCTTCTGGCAGTTCCTCCAAAGGTCAAAAATGGAGTTACCATATGATCCAGCAATTCTGATAATTAAAAACATAGGTCCACATGAAAGTTTGTACTTCAATACTCATAGCAACATTATTTCTAATACAAAAAAGTAACAACAGCCTACATGACCCCAAAATGATGCAAGAAGAAACAAAATGTGACATATCCTTACAATGGCATATTAAACACCCATAAAAAGGAACGAAATACCAATCCATGCTACAACATGGATGAACCTTGAAAACAGTACGTGAAGAAAAAAATAGTCAGACACAAGGCTTTATAATGCATGATTCTATATGAAATATCCAAACAGGCAAATTATTGCAGAGATAGAAAACAGATTAGTGGTTGCCAGGGATTTGGGAGAGGAAGAGGAATGGGAAAGGCTTGCTAATGGATATGAAGTTTCTTCTTTGGCTGACAGAAACATTCTGGAATTAGATAGCAGTGATGGTTACTCAACTTTGTGAGTGACTATAAACCATGGAGTCATATGCTTTAAAATGCTGAGCTTTATGGTATGTGAAGTGTATCTCCATCTAAAACGACATGTAATACAAGTATTCCTATATTATTTTTAAAAACTAAGAATAGAAGTTTCTTCAAATAATATAAAGTATCTCAAACCAAGTAGCAAAATAATCTGCAGGTCTTTCCACTGATACCAGATAAGATATGTCTATTACAGCTTTTATTTAATATTGTTGTGGAAGTTACAATAAATTCAATAAAGCATGAAACAGAAGTGCTATAAATAATAGAAAAATCTCTCCATTTTCAAAATGACAATGTACTTATCTTGAAAGCTCAAATGAATTCAAAATTATTGAAAGGAGAGGTAAAGGATTGAGATATAAGATGGATGTCAAAAGCTTTCCTATGAATTAGATGTGACTCATTAGGAAATAACACAGACAATACTCCATTCACTAGATAAATGGACATTCGTGGAAATATTGTTATGTGGGGTGAAATGTCAAAGTGATTATCTCTGACAATTGTTGATAAATTTTGTTTTCTCTGTAATGTGCGCTATTTTAAAAATTTTCTCAATGAGGAAGTATGGCTTTTATAATAAAAAGACAATGAAACATTTAATCACACATTACCTCAGGTTGGAAGTGACATTTGGGGCTGTCCCTGTCCAGATTTGTGGTCTTCATGCTTGGAGAACCCCAGCTTCTAACATTTCCCTTCTTGGTCCTTGTGAATCAAATTAGCTTTGATTTTAAGAGTACTTCGTAATAGGGGCGCCTGGGTGGCTTAGTTGGTTAAGCATCCGACTTTCGCTTAGGTCATGATCTCTGTGCTGACTGCCAGCTCAGAGCCTGGAGCCTGTATCAGTCTGTGACTCCCTCTCTCTCTGACCCTCCCCTGCTCACGCTGTCCCTCTCTCTCCTAGAAATAAATAAAACATTAAA